CTCACATCGAAAAACTTCTACACGCTTCTACACGAACAAATGTCTGGCAAAACTGTCTACCTCAGTGCGTTTTCAACCCATTATCTATTGTATCCGCATTGATTGTTTTACGTTGCGCAGTTTCCGGCGCCAACCGCGGAATAGGGTATGTCCTCGCGGCTGTGCTTGCTGCGCGCCCTAACACCATCGTTTTCGCCGGTGCGCGCGACCCCACCGCCCAGTCGCTGAAGGATCTCGCTGCGAAGTACACGAACGTGCATGCGGTCAAGCTCACGGCCGGGGACGAAGCCGACAACCAGGCGGCCGTAGCGGAAATTAAGAGAATCGCAGGGCAACTCGATGTGATCATCGCAAACGCAGGTAATAGTCCACTGATTTCAAAATCCGAATCAATAGTGATGGTGCTTCCAAGGCATTGCTCAATACTACGGCGAACTCGCCACGACCCCCATCTCCGAGTTCCGCGAGCACTGGGAAGTGAATGCACTGGGGCCCATCGTGCTCTTCCAGGCCGCACACACCCTTCTCCTGGCTTCCCCCTCCGGCGCCCCCGTCTTCGCCCTCATTTCCAGCTTGGTGTCCTCAATGGGACACTATTTCCCCCTGCCCGTTGCCGCTTACGGCTCTTCCAAGGCTGCGAGCAACTTCCTCGTTAAGGTGCTGGACGCCGAGCACAAGCCCCTCGTAGCACTCGCAATACACCCGGGGTTGGTCGCCACAGACATGGGAAATTTTGGCGCCGTTGCCAACGACCTTCCTCCGGTGCTCATCTCCGTAGACGACTCGGTTGCGGGGATTCTGTCGCGCATTGATGGGGCGACCAAGGAGAAGAGTAGTGGCCGGTTCTGGAATTTCAAGGCCACGAAGGGGAATCCGTGGGACATCGATACTGATGAAATATCCTGGTAGACTTCTTTTATGTTCTCATTGTACTAGTGCATAGTGCCGGTTGAATTATGTATTGCTATATTGCCAAGTAGGGATGTTTCTCACACTCGGATCGCACCAGCGATAAATTCGAGCGCATCTCTTCTCATGATCAACAGTAGGCAATAGACCCGATAGCGCATGGATCGCGCCTGCAACACAGAATATATCTTCCTTTCTATTCGGGGTTTTTTCATTTTATTTGCACAAGGAAAGGCAATTTTGAGAGTGTTGGATGGTACGTAGGTGCGGGCTGCGGTTGACGACTCTGTTCTAATTACTTGTATAAATAAAATGAAATCAACACTACGTCAAATTCTCGTCTACTTAACGCGTGCGGGAAATTTGGAAGTTGGGCTCAACGGAATGGTGACTTGCGGAAGTAGTTCGTAGGGCCTTGCATGCGGCAGTTGGTACCTGTTTAAAACTTATATGGCTCCTTGATCCAAGCAGCCTTATTAGGCCTTGCTAGCCCTTGGTCGGACTAATAACCCATCTAAGATTTTTCCGACATATTATCTCTGCCCAACAAGGTAATCTGCGGCGAAGGAATCTTGGCGGACTCGATAAGACGTCATAAATGAAGAGTTGAAACATCGAATCGACATTACTGAGTACATTTGTTGTAGGAGTGCGCTAATAGATCGACTCCAAATCCTGCACACCAGACAGTTTAGCACCACGGACAAGCTCCGGAATATCGCGAGGGCGCGGGGACAAATTGCCAATTTGCACCAAGATGCCATGCATTTGCGCATCATTTGTGCGGAGGGGGACCACTATGTACCGCGTGCGGGCACCCTTCGCGATAGCCATGACATGGAGCTGCAGTTTACCACCACTATTAGAAGCACGCGCGATATCATTGTGCCACTCGAGAGAGGACGCAATGCTTTCATCCCAACAGGCGGCACCCGCGAAGGCATCCCAATCAGCGGCGCCTCCATGCGGCGCCGAGGTCGCGTGCACAACAATCTTGACCCTACCATCTCGATAGTCGAACAGGGTGAAGTACGGGACGCCGGGGTTAGCCGCCATGAATGCGACCTGCTGCGGATATACTGTTGTCCATTTCTGTGTCTCGTAATCATGCGCTAGAATTGCACGCATGAAAGATCGTTCCCGAACACGGAGATCCTGCGCCACACCTCCACCTATATTCATAGCAGATGAGGGGGGCCTCGACGCGACATATCAGATGCTTACCCAAGTGGAATGACCGGCCTGGGACACAGACTTTGCGATGGTCGCCCGCACGCCAATCGATTCGTTGACATTCCCGTGAGCAGTAATAGAAACTGAGACACCTGCTACAGCGCTGGAAATCCGTTTTCTCGAGTATGTGCCCACACTGTTCGACCCCAAGTTTTCACAATCCGTTTGAGTGAATAAACTAAATAAAAATGTAACACACCTTGACATTGTCGCAGGCTCGACGACGTTGCGGGGCTGCCACTGAATGGACAAGCGCGATTCGTTCACGCGCTAGCGCCGTAAAGGTGCGCCACTTGTCCACAAGTTGGCACCCCTGGAAAGGACCGCAGTGGGCGATTGGGTCAGCTTGTAGGAGGGCCTGCTCGAGGCATTGCACATCGTAGTAATAGACCATCGACATGGGTAAGATCTGCTCGAGGAGGATTCTGCTCGATGGGTTCTCGAGGCCGAATGCGGCACATGATGCGATGGTGACCAGTAGACCGGATTCGAGGGCCTCCCCGACGAACATATAGCCGCGCGAGTCCCCGAGTATACGAATCAAAAGGATCATACAATTCCGGAGAAGAGTTTCAATGCCCTGCATCTCGTTCTGGTGAATGAGGCCATATGCCACGTTTGTGAGTGCCCTGGTAATACCGTACGGCAATAGGGTTACACCGAACGCTCCCAAGGCTTGTCGATAATGAGAGAATGTGCGACCCTCGATTGAATCGTCCGCGGTCGTTATAAATTTGACGATGTCGAAGAGTAGGTAGAGTTGTTTGGAAGTCATGAAATCGGTGTGACCAGGGAGTATGGCATCTATATGAGACACGATAAGCGATGCTAGATCTGTGTGCGTGCCGCCAGCACCATCTACGACTTCCTGAATTGTTGTTGTCATCAAGCTGCCTGGATTTGCCAAGAGTAGCCGTGCGATAGCAGGATACCCGTGAGATAGATCAGGATCATCGTCTTTGACGCGACAACGCCAGCCCCTGGTGATTACATACACCGTTTTGGGGGTGGCCAGTATGATTTGGATCGCCTCGTCTGAAAGAGGAATCCCACCGAGGAAAGAGATGAACGGGAGACAGATTCCACCCTCGAGGTCATCGCAGTTCATCTGAAAAAAATGCACCCATTTCCAGAGATTGGGCCACAAATCGAGGAACGCGTCGACAGAAATGTCGGCCATGGCATAGATCGATAGCAAAGAGACCCAGGCGCGTTTTACAACGTCATTCCCGTTCGAGAAATCCGCCTCCGGAGCATCTGCAGGGGGGATTCCAGCTGGGTTCAAATGAATATAGAAGACAGCCAAAAGTGCCGCAGAGCCAGATCCATCCGCGATCATGGAGCGAAGCTTCTCCAGGTCTTCAAGGGAGCCACGAGCCGCGGAGGTAGCCGTTTTCTTCAATAACATTCAGATACAAATCGATAGGCAGAAAAAATGTAGCTTCACCCGGATCGATGCGGGCAAGACAGAGATTCCGGCTAGGCGTAGGCTAGGATGCATTGGGACTAGGATTTATGGATAGTATTAGTGACGGAAAACACCTAAAGTGAATCTAACCACATTGTATATTGTCTTGCGGACCCGTCTTCTCAACTCGACGGTGTTAGGCAGGACTACGTGGCATCTGGCCGCGTGTTGGGTACACGGTCACGTTATCTGGCGAAACGCGGTTTGAGAGAATCGGTCATTCCCCTGGAAATCTCCGGAAATGGCCTCTCGTTACCCAGGGTTCTCCCCGATTAGGAAGCGATCGGCACCCACCTCCCCTACGAACTTTTCAAGACTTGTCAGTAGTACCTAGGTGCCTGGAACTCAGATCGCTGCGTTCCTTAGCGCGTATCGCGGGTGTGTATCAAGTCGGCTGGATCACGGGAGCTATTTTTTTGTGTCCTCTTTGTGTCCTCGGCGCTTGCTTGTCTTCCGTAACTGCGTCCATGAATATCGATCGCATGAACCAACGCCGCAGGACTCCTAATCAACCCCGTTAATCTCCCTTGCATATCGCCGCCGTCGCGCCCCATGATGAACCCCCTTCGCTGATTATTCCCGCCATTCGCACTTGTACAAAGGTCGGCGCATTTACTCATTTCATTCCACTGAAATCCGTGAACTAGCATTTCCCTATGAGAGTTCCTTTGTGCAAAAATACATTTGCGCGCGCGAATGAGGTCACCGCGCGCGCGAAAGGGAATACAGCGCTCGAAAGAGGCCTGATTTAGCAATTAAAGAATAAAGGCCTCACCTCGACATGCCTCCTACATAACTATTTACATAATAATACTTAGAAATGGCGTAGGCCTACATTTATGTGTCGTGTATTTCCTCCAGAGTGACATCTGGATATCCACTCCAATCCAATCCAATCCATGAGTTTACCGTTCCCGACGGGAAGAAAGAGAAACGGCAATAGTACAAAAGTAAAAAGGACGAGCAGGAGGAGAAGGAGGATTTCGGGTGGGAAGGTGGGAAGGCAGGTAAAATTGGATATATCTGGGGCGGGATGACAAAAATAAGCATTGGCCATCCAGGCATTCGAATGTCGGGCGCGGAGAGTCGAACCCCGTTCGGTGGGGTTTGACATGGATTTAGAGGACCAGATCAACCCGCTGTGTTGCATACACCACGTCCGGCTCGGGATATGCTCCTCGAGTCAGTGGTTGTGCAGAAGAGGGGCATCTCCGAATCATCACACGATGGAGGGCGGGTGGGAGGGAATAGAGATCGCAGGTACCCGTTTTTGTTCACGCGTCCGGGGATGTTCCCCGTCGCGCCCCTCAATGAAATCCGCTACATATTCATGGGTGCAGCTGGGAGGTGAGATCCAAAAAGAATTTAGTTGGTTTCTTCCTGTACATTATTCGGACGCGGGGAGTCGAACCCCGTTCTGCGGGGTTACCTACGACTACAATATGAGAGATGAACCTGCCGTGTTTCATACACCACGTCCGATGAGTAGTCAGGCTGAGTCTTTGGATAAGTCGGGGTGAATTGAATGATGCGCGGCACGTTGGAAGCGTCCAGGGACCAGGATCTAGGGCTACACCGCCAACGGTCCCACACGTGGTCACGATCTGGAGGCGACATGTGTGCCACATGTCGAGACTTGCTGGTGGCCAGCTGGTTTCGAGCTGGATCTCATATTCAATCTCCTATGGGTCCATGATGGGGCCAGGTGCGGCTGGTCACCACCTTCCTCTAAGGCTGGTATGATTATTGGCTGCTCAGCTGGCCTCGACACCGTCCATTCGCTTTCAATTTCGGGGCACATTTAATGGATATAAAGCATGTATATATTGTTAAATGAACGACAAGACAGATAAAATTTGGCGCTACGTTGGGAGATCCTATCCGTTTTTTACTCCTCGGTTGTAACGGAGGTTGCCACGTCCTTGGCACCCGCATCAATGAGGTCGTCGACCTCCTGCTGGAAGGCGTCGATATCCTCGTCGAGTTCATAGTCCTTGACACCGTGCAACTCCTGATCGGTGGTCAGGATATGGTGGAAAGCCCTTGCAATAATTGAGATGAGATGAAGGAAAAATAAGGAGAAAAACGTACTTGGTAATCTTTTTGGCACTCCCTTTCGCTTGCGCACGGATAGCAGCAAGGCTGGTGTCGAGCTTATCCCAGTATTTGGGGCCGGAGTCTTGCAAGATTTGGCGCTGGAGAAGCGTATCAGCCACCGATAAAACCACGAAGAATCTGAAGTACGTACCATGAGAGCTACACGGGCACAGAGCTCGACAGTGACAGTGCACTGGGTGCCATCAACGAAGCTCAGGGTGAGCTTGAAGATGTTCTGATGCTCGGGGCCTGGAGTAATTTCCTTGTCGTTCTTGTTAGCCTTCAAGCTAGCCAACAGCTACCATAGCCCAGGTCATGCCAACAACGAGATAAACTCACCGCTTTCTTGAATTTGGCGCGGAGTTGAATGAAGGCCTCTTGTATCGCGGCCGCCAGCTTCGCGAGGTCAGGGACAAAAGGAGGGTTTTGGATTGGGGCTTGGAGCGCAGGATCGAGGGGGAAGGTGTGAGCAGACACAACGGAGGCCCGTAAAGGGACGTGAGGTGCGGAGAGGAGCTTGTGGAGTGGTTTGGTTGGTATTTGAACCTCTAAAAAGAAATCATGTACTTGATGAAAGGGAAGTTGAGGTCCAAAAGCTCTTGGAGGCTTGAAGCCGAGCTTGAGGAACAAACTGTCCGGATCCGAAGTGCCAGTGCGACTTGCGTATGACTTGGAACTTAGAGGAACTTGATCTGAAGACTTCAAATGACGAGGAAGGGAAGATATGGGAGTGAAAAGTGCCCAAATATACGCGCAGGGAGTTCGGACGAATGTATAGGATGAATAAGACGGGCTTGCCGCTCCTGCGCGTTGCCATCTTTCTTGGGGCCTTCGGATACGAGTGAGATGGCATTGTTGAGACTTTGAGGAATATTTAGAAGGGGAAGAACGAACAGTGGAAGCGGGGGAGACGAGAACTCAGAAAATGCGGAAACGCGACCAACATGCACGTGATGGTATATACCGTGCCAAACAAATGCACGGACCAGGTTTGAAGCTTGATCGGAAGTTTCTTAGTTTCAAACTTCACACTCGCAGTGTCCGCACCGCAGGAGCTCAGTGAAAACAGTGCGACAACTTCCAACTGGCTTTCAAATCTGGATTTGACAGCGAAAGTGGGAGTCATTCTATGGTGAACCATCGCGGCGGTTTGGCGGCGGCCGCGATATGGCAAATTGGGCAATAATGGCAGGCCGCCACACAAATGTAAATTGTTTGGGTAGATCTACATACATCCAGTGCCATGCAATATAAAATTTGCACAACACTGAAAGGATGAAAGTATGCCAGAGTAGAAAGCAACTGGCCAACAGATGGGTGCATAACATCGCTGTCAGGTGGAATTCAGCTGCCGGACAGCTGGAATCCCAGCTGAACGGCCCAGCTGGCATCTATCTGGTTACTACCTGGAACCAGGTTTCAAAAATTGTGGCCACCACATGAGGATTCCAGCTGGTCAAAACCTGCCGGCACTTTGGCGGTGTACTTACGAGCCGTCTTCTTCGAGCTTGGTTGAGCGCGAAGATCACAGAACCAGCAGGAGAATGAAAGAGTGGGAACGGTCGTTGCCGGATAACACCGTGAACGACATACAGCCACGAGCGGAGGACGTTGGGGGAACGGCATTTTGCCGCATTTAAGACGTCGCCGAACCGAGCCGAGTTGATCCGTTGATCGGGCTGATTCTCTCCCTCTGGGTCGCTGAGGTGGGTGGAACCAGGGTCAGCGTCTGCTTGCGAGTTCCCCCGACTTGCAAAGATTATTTGGAGTCCCTCCCATGGACTCGGACGCGATACCGCTGGTCAAGATTCACGACTCCGTACAGGTCATCTCGGCACCCCTCGCGGACTCTGAGGGCAGTGAGCAATATGCCAATATCACAGTCTCCTTCCGACTAATATAATCTGGAGTAAGCTAAATAATCAGTTGAGTCATAATCGCTGATTCAAAAAACACCGATGCCGACGGTGCATGGTACGTTCGCCATCGTACGCGTGTCGCTGTGCGCGGGATATGGATATCACCTCGACGCCGACCTGTACACGATGTGCATTCTGAGTACTGAAGTGTCTGTCCTAGCCCTATCCTCGACTCCTAAGTCTGCTCAGACTGCTGATGATAGCCACTCTGCTCAACTCCGCCTTCCTTGGGCCTCTACTTATTCGCGCGTTCACTGGCCATATTGGTCTTCGAGTTCACCATCACGCTCACGTTCACGTTCATGTTTGTGGAAGAGGCAGCGGAAGGGGGTGGGAACGGAGGTAGGGGGTGCGGGTGCGGATTGGATTGGATTGGATTAAAAAGTCATGTTCAAGACGCACGATCGGCCGGCGCGCCTTCGCGTTCCTTCTTTCCCTTGCTCCATTTTTCCCCGCACATTTTTTTTCTAGCTCTTAACAACCTCTCAGTTCATGCACAGGTGACTTCCGGACTCCGGAGCGGAGAGAATCTCCCTTGCCCCTGCCCGTTCCCATGCATATTCAATCGAATCGCCGGTATTGCTCGGAGTATGGATACTACCTCCTCGCCCCGACGCTAACTCGACGTCAACGACGATCTGCACACGAAGTATACTATATATCTACTCGGAGTTTTCACTCCGTGTACGTGCTTCAAGTTTCGTCTCTTTCTCTTTCGTTTTCTCCGAATATCGCTATCACTCAGCACCGAGGCTCACAGATGGAAGATGAGGTTCCGGAATTTGAATTTTCCATACCCATGCCCGTACGCGCGCGCCCATTCAAGGTTAATTGCCGGTGTTGCTCGGGGTACGGACACCACCCCGCCTTCCTGGTGCGTCCCACACTGCATTCCTAGCCGTATCTTCGACCTGCCTACACGCTTCACGTTATCTTTGTCCTTGTGGCGAAGGCGCGTCCAACGAGGGAGGAAATTATCTCAAATACATGTATGTAATCTCCGTACGTCCTTCTTCCCCTCTAAATTCTAAACTCTAAACTCTGACTCCTAAATTCAGAACGCCACATGCCAGATCGACAGTGTACCTTAGCGCAATCCTCCTTGCGCCCACGTCGACACGGACCCTAGGCCCGCACCGCATTGCGCGGCGGACACGGTGCCCCCATGGGCGATGGCTGTTGCGTTGCGTCGCTGCGCGGGATACAATAAATTTCCCCGCCGTTCTACATATGTACGACTCAGATTCAATCGGAATTGAAGCTGGTGCGTTGCACGAAGTCAGTCTTGGCTCTAATCTTGATTTATATATCTACAGTGTTTTCGTTCTTCAATTCCATTCGCCTGCCAACCAATCTAAGTTGGGGTTTTCCTATGCAACCCGCTGTTTTAGGTGAATTGATCATCGCGCACCGTTCTATGTGCAAATTCTCTCCTGTCTAGTAGGACGGAAATCTTTCTGTCCGCTCCCGCGGGAAACTATCAGCAGGAGAGATAAAAATTCAGCGGGAGACTGGGTGATACTGTATATACGCGGCATCGTTGAGTCCTTTTACTATCTCCTGTCCCATTTTTCGAGTTCTGCGCTACTCGCCTCGAGAGATCTTCCTCTCTTCCCCTGTTCCCCCTTCCATTCATCCTTTCGCTTCCACGAGGGCTCAATCAGAATTGTATTCAGACGTATGCATGTATCGGCGAACGACTTTAATTGCATGTCGGCAGTATGTTGATTTTACGACTCAATCCAACAGAGGAGAGCCAGCTTGTGGAGGTACCTCGCTCCCTAATCTTTCTGATCAACGTGAAAAACCTGGCTTAGTCTAGGACACGGCACTGGCACCAAACAACATGATTCAAGATACACAACTGTGAGATAGTCGCGAGTTGTCAAGCTTAGGAGAACATGTCGTCAACCTCGCTCACGGCTTTCTGCATCGTCTCGGCTTTGACTTTGTTCTTGATTGGACGCAATTTTGTTAGTGCGACAGTGGGCGGAGGTCATGGGATGTACTCACGAGCACTTCATCGTTGGGCCTGAAACGCTGAGAGGTAACGACTAGTAATCGTTCATTAGCTCTCCGAAAAAAACCGCATGCCTGAAGTGACATACCCGTCTGCATACCATTCTTGTCCTCTTGGTGAAAGAAAATGCGGCTACAATCGGACCAAGCAAAAATCTGGATCCTGTAGATTGTGCAATCAGCAACAAGTTATATCTTCAACAGGACCGTCATATTGCCTGTAGATCTTGAAGTACGGGTTGGCGATGCTCGGGAACCTCAAGGGAGAAGTACATCAATGACAATACTTTCACAACGCGTTCGTTTCGTTCACCTCATGACACCGACCTCGAGCATCCGCCGCTCATGACGTCTAGTGACAACTTTGAGTCACGACCCGCCGTAATAACATGATCAGACAAGCTTACTCGTGCTTTGAGAAAACGTTCACAAAATTGGTGACGGTTG